CGGCTGCCCGGTGAGGACTGTGCCTGTCTTGTCGCAGGTGGCCCGGAGCCTCCCGAGGGAGTTCGACAAGGAGCGAGCCTGGAGAGCCGTGGTGGTGCAGATGGCCCAGTGAGGCCGGAGAGGAGGCGCCGGCAGCGGCCCGGAGACCTGCACAGGCACTAGTGACCTCGAGCTACTACCCTCTAACCCCTTCCCGCTGGGGGCGGTCGGGCTGCTGAGTGTCTATTCCCAATGGGCACAGGCTGACTGTTCTATCTGATTGGCGGGTCAGCTCGGTGCGGGGTCGGGGGCTCGTGTGGGGCTGGACTCTGGCGCTGGTCTGCGCAGTTTCCTGGCCACTGAGCCTGCTGCCTGGTTCGCTCCTCCCGTACCTCACCTGGCTCCTACCCCGCTTTTTGTGGGTTTTTAAAAAATATATTTTTATTGATTTCAGAGAGGAAGGGAGGGAGAGATAGAAACATCCATGATGAGAATCATTGATCAGCTGTCTCCTGCACACCCCACACTGGGGATTGAGCCCACAACCCGGGCCTGTGCTCTGACCGAACCGTGACTCCGGGTTCATAGGTCGATGCTCAACCACTGAGCCACCCCGGCTGGGCTCCTGCCCGTCTTTGTTGAGCACCTACTGTGTGCAGGCCGCAGGCCACTGGCTCCGCCCTCACGGCCTTTCTCTTCTGACCGAGCCCCCGCCCCCGCTGTTTCCTTGATGAGAGCAGACCTGAGGCTCTGTCCTGTGCTCAGACCCCACACAACTGGGGCGCCCAGAGCGCGGGCACAGGGCAGCTTCCTCCACGCTTCTCCCACGCTGTCCACCTGCCCCTGCTGCCCTCCCCTGACCCAGCCACTGCAGCAGCGCCTGCCTGCTCAGGGCGCTGGTCCACGGGGGCGCTTGTCGGCACTTGTCACCCCTCCTGTCCCGCTCCCAAGCCCTTGGTCAACCACATGGAGGTGGACTGTCCACTGTGCGGCTCAGTGACTGTTGGGGGGGGGCGTGAATTGAAGGGTTTGAAAACTGACTGGGTCACGTCTCCCAGCCTCAGTAGCCTCAGTGACCTGGGCCAGGCCGAGCCCCTCCCTCCTGACCTGTTGGCCCTGCTCCCCCCAGGCCAGGCCGCTGCCCTCAGCTGCCCCGGAGTCCTCACAGTTCCTAACAAGTAGTTCCTCTCGGTCCTCACTCACCTGAGGTCTGTCGCCGTCCACCTGCTGGGCTGCAGGCAGTTTGTGTGTGAGAATAACATTTGCTTTGATTAAAATCATGGCCCAGAAGCAGTCTGTGTGGGTCTGTCCCCAGGGCACCTGGAGTCGTCAGAATAACTGATGTGGCACCAGGAGATCCCACGGTGGGAGCACGTCGGGGGAACACGGCTCGGGTCGGAGCTGTGCCCAGGCCGGCACGTCGCTCTCAGGCTACGCGTCCGTCAGTGCCAGGGGGGAAAGGGCAGGCTGTGCTGGAGGCTCGGGCTCCCGCTGCCTCAGTTCAGGGCCACGCACTGCGTCCCAGGGGCTGGTGGAGAGGCCTGGGCCAGGGAACCAAGGGACCAGTTGCCCGGGCGACGAGGGCTGGCTGGGGCGGGACAGGTGCGGGCCTGGTGAGGGGCTCAGGGTCTGCCCTGCTTGCTCACGTCTGAGCACAGGTGACGAGCTGCCAAGATCACGGTCAGAGGGGAGGGTGCAGGTCAGACCTGATGGGTGGAGCGTGCCAGCCAAGGGGTCATCAAAGCCGCTGCCCTGGCACCCCCTGCCCTGGCACCCCCTGCTGTCCGCGAGCTCCAGAGCCTTGGGCGGGTGGGCGAGGGGCCAGGCGGCTCTCCCTGCTCACACGCAGGCCCCACCCAGCCACCCCCTCCCTGCTGCTCCCAGGGGGTGGCAGGTGGGGACGCCCCTGAGTGGGGACAGGACCTCAGGGACAGCCCAGGGGATGCCCAGGTCTTCGTGGGGGTCCAGAGAGTCTTAGAGCCGTAACTGGGTGCCTGGGGGCTTCATGCTGGCTTGTACTTTAGTTCAGAGAGAACTTGAGAAATCCGGCCGAGTGGGGTTTGAAAGGGTTATAATTCTCGGTCAGTTTCATTTTCTTTGCTGTAGTTAATGCTGCCCGAGGAGTGACCTTAGCAGGTGCAGGTGCCTGTGGCCTATTGAATGTCGCGTCCCCGGTACATCCCTGCGGGTCCTGAAAGGCCGAGAGTAAACCCAGGACGCGGATGGAGGGGCGCCGCCTTCGATTTATTCCTGATTCTGTGACCCCGAGGCCAGGAGGGAGGCGGCGAGAGCCCAGGGCAGAGGCCAGGGTCCCCCCACGGACCCACCACCAGTGGAGGCGGACCCTCGGTTTGCAGGCGTCTCGGGAAGCCACATAGGAAATAAAGACGATGTTAAACCGCAGAACAGTGACATCCAGGTTCGGAAAGTTACCGCGACGTGGGCAC